TAAAAGTAAATGAGAGAGAGAGAGAGAGAGATTGCAGTGTGGAAAACATTTTTACTTATATAAACAATCTTTAACAATTTTTTTTACATTTTTACATTAAAATGTAAGAAAACATTACATAGCATTTTATGGTATCCTAAGAATGCTTCGAAATATGCTCCTGAAAAACATGTAACGGATGTGTAGATTGAATATTTTATTTAAAAATTATTAATCATGTTTAGATTGAAATAATAGGAATTATTAAAAATAAATTTAAAAATCTTTATTTAATAGTTTTCAAATACCTGTATCAAATACACTTTGATTTAAAAATACTTATAAACTTATTATAATTTTTAATTAATCATAATTCATTTAATTAAGTTTTTATAATACTTATAACATGTTAGTTTATTTAAAAGATATAAAATAAATATTTACTAACTATTGTATACATTGATTGAATTAGTATTTTTCAAGTGACTAATATTTCATTGATTGAATTTCATGTAGATAAAAAATATTTAAAAACTTTACGCAAAACAATTAAACGGTAAACAAGGTTAAATTAATTCTAATTAAAATAATAGTTAATAATATTTTTAAAATGATATTTATAATACAGAAACATTCAGTATATACAGCATATAAAGTTACATATTAATATTATGGATTTTGAAAAAACTAGTGCCAAAAGTTACCATAACATAAATTGTATACAATTTCCAGGAAACACTCATTTAGAGCCTTGAACTTGCAAGCCTTTACCTAGTTATGAAATAGTCTATCCCCTAATCACTTATTTATGACCATCATTATGTTAGACAACAAAATCAAAAGGTTAGTGAGTTAGAGTATGTTATATGATTTTTGCATCCATTTATCCAACGCCTAGTAATTTAGTAAATGTTTTATTTTTATCGTGTTTTTGAACAGCAATTGTTAGAATTACAAACTTATATTGTATATACATTTAGGGCTGGAATTAAAGGGTTGAGGCAAAAAAGATGCTACTGTTAAATAATTTATGAATATGGCATATGTGCGATAATAATTGGCTTAACAATTTAAATAATTACACATGCTTATTATGTACAACAGTGTAAGTGCTTTTTTAATATAGCATAACATTCGCTAAATTTTAGTTTTGATAATTGTTTCTGAGATTTTTCTTTGTATTTTTGAGAGAAAGAGAGAGTGAGTGTGTGAGTGAGAGAGAGAGAGCAATAATTATACCTTAAGCAACAAACAACACACTTCTGATTGGATTTAGCCGTAAATACAACAAAACATCTCAATAATAACAATTCATTGTTATTTCTAAAAAGCTTTTTTCTTAAAGCAATTGTCATTTGTTTAAACAAAAATAAAATTCTTGAAATTAATTATAAAATGTAAAATTTATTTCGTGTAAAAGCGTTGACAATAGCGCCGATACCAGACAATTAGCTCATCGTTGCGCGTATATATTGGGCGCTTTGGCTTCTGGAAATTCACCCAGATCATCATATCCGAGTCAACCTATTAATGCAAATAAATAAAATTCCCTAAAATTAATTTATATGATGTTATTTTCATTAAAACCTAATCTCCTACTATCCCAGCCGTTTAAATAAAAAACTTATTGTTAACCATGGTGATATTTTATAGCGGCTAATGTTTGTTTACAAAGCAATTGCATAATATACCTGTTTCTCTACCGTATAGTGAAAAACTATAGCATATAGTCTGTTCAACATAGTTGGCCTGCGGTATATAATAGATCGCATCAATGTTTGACCATGCTGCAATGGTACAATGGCACCTAGTGATAAAACAGGTGCCAGCATCGCGTTGCCGTCACCAATGAGTAGCGCGACCAACACGGGTGAAACGATACACAATTTGGTGGCTACAGTGACCAACTCGACGCCCAATAGACAGATGGTAAGCCTACCGGCCATTTCATTGTCCGCGCCGTAGGTCGTGTCGAACGAGACTTTTACGCTCGTTATGTGTGGTATGATTGATGTATGTCTGTAATTAAAATGCTCTAGGTCTACACCATTCTCGGCGGCCACCTGTTGGAAGCGATCGTGGTTAGTTTATGAGGTTAGTTGTAATATTAAATAATTTTATATTAATGTTAATCATTTTGAACCATAGTTAACTTTCAAATGACTTTTAACTATTGAAAAAGTTAACAGCTATACAGTGTAGTGTAATATACTTTATATTTTATAATTACTGTGAATAATAATCATATATAGAGTTATATAAATGTATAATAAAATAAACTTCAGTTTACATCATAGGTACTGTCCATAATTCTAATACGCGAGCCTTTAAGTGATAGTTTGTGGCCGTATTTGGCATCAACATCCTCGGGGTAGTGGTCGGGCTCCGAGTCCTCCGAGTGGTACCAAACATATATCACTTCATTCCTCTCAATTGTTGACCATTTCTTTACCACTGGTTTCACTGCTTTTAACTCAACATTCAGAGTCTATGCGAAAGCAAATACTTTATTATTAATAATTGTAGTTTTCGTATGTAATTTAATATACATAAATATAATGTAAATGTAAATATAAACATAATTTATGCATAAGTATTAGACATACCGTTGAGATTAGGTATGCGTTTGCACTGTCCGTCCCGTCCGGCAAACCTCCAGCCATGGAATGGACACTGAATACAGTCGTCGCCCGACTCAGTCACTACATGTC